AGCTTTCCCTGTATAATAGCAGTGAGCCTTCTTTCCGCAGGCCCTCCCCCTCCTGGGGACAGAGCCATGGCCTGAGGTCACTTGCTGCCTCCTTTTCAACCCCCTTTTGTCCCCACCCCTTTTCTGATCCTTGACTTACCCTGAGCTGGATTAAGACCTTTAAGCAGCCCAGAGAGCTGAGAGGTTGAGGTGTACCTCCCCCCACTCATCTCCATGCAAACTCAAAATAAAGACCACTCTAAACCTTAAAATTAGTGTGAGGAAGTCCAACAAAGTTCTGATTTTTCCCAGGGTGACTACTTCCTTGCTATTTTTGAAATACTAGGAATCAGCCCTTTAAAAAAAACAAACGAAAACCAGGACACTGTTGATGCCCTTTTACTGCCAGTGCCCTAAGCACACGCTTAATCTGTCTGTTGGGCAACCTGGCCTCGCCTGCCCCCTCCCCTGTGCCAGAGCCGGACAGAGGACTGGCCTGCAATACAGGGCATTGGGTCACTCTGCCCAGAGACTTCCCCAGGGGAGAGGGAAGCCCAGGGCCAATCAGCCCCTGTTGGGGAGGTGACATCAGGAAAGCCCAGAAGGTTCCACTTCCGCCCCTGCCACGGGTTGGGGGGTGGGGTGCACCCTCTCCTCCCCACTAGAGAGCAGCCAGAGCCAGCCCGGGCCCCCTTCCAGTCCTCCAGCTGGCCAAGGACGGCTGGGCTGGGCTGTGTTAGTCCCTAGGCCTGTTGCCCTGCACTCCACACCTGTCAGGCAGGTCTCCCTGCCCTGTGCCACTCCTCGTCCTCCCTGTGGGGGAGGGAGCCATCGAGTGCTGGGACTTCTGCAGACTGGCTTTTCCAGATCCTGCTTGTAAACTCTGGTTACAAATGAACCCCACATGTCTGACGAGGAGGGTGCAGTGGTAGGAGGTAGAGAAGGTGAGGCAGGAGTCGATGCACAAGGAGCAAGGCCAGTCCTCCTCAAGCACAATCAGGGAGCGCCCCAGAGAAAGAGGATCCCGAGCATCCTAGAAAATTTTAAGTGGGAGGGGCCTTTTAGAGCACTCCATTCTGCAGAAGGAAAACAGGCCTAGATAGAAAGAGAAGAGCAAGTGGTTTCCACAAGGTGAGCAGCAGACACATGGCAGGTCGAACAAAGCCCTCTCGGCCTTGTCTCAGTCCTCCGTTCTCCCTGAGTGAGGCAAGAGGACAGTCCTCTACCCCTGTCTGCTCCTCACCCCC